GACGTAGCTGATTGGAGGGACGGCGTCAAGGCCGGTCATTATTGGCTGCACCGTCGAGCCGGGAGAGGGGAGGGGCGGGATGGGAAGGCCCGAGCGTGTGTTCGCCCAGTCCCTCCTTCACCCTACTACCCCTACCCAGAAGAGCCAGAGATATGCCTGGAGAAGAGAGAGGGGAGAAAAAAGAGGGGAGGGATTGATCGGCCAGGAGGCGGGGCGGAATTGGAGAGGGGCGGGATGGAGCTTGATAGAGGGGGCGGGACTTACCTGAAAGAACCATTCTGCTTGGAGCAGGATAAGAGGAGCTGATTGTGGGAAGAGGGGGTGTGTACAAGAGTGGGCGGGGCCAAAAAGGAGGCTGGGTCCCCTAATGCTACAGTGAACTTGCTCTTCTGAGCCAGATTTGGATCTTTGTATAAATGGGGAGATTGGAGTTCCAGAGGTCTTTGGTCTGTAAGCATGTGTTCCCCCCATGACTTCTGTTGGGTCTTTCCGCCCCTCGTGGGGGAGGAAAGGAACCGCAAGCCCCCGGGAGTTGAAGCCCTCGACGTTGCTATGGCGCCGGACCTACTTGGCGGTTTGGCTGGAGGGAGGGGCTCCTACAGGCCCCGCCTCCGGTTCCGCCCCCGCCGCGATGGGGCCCGCCCCGACTAAGCTCTTGTGGATTCTGGTATTGACTCCAAGCCTGATCCTTGTCCGCCCCCTGGCTGTGGGTTGGAGGTCCGCCCGGGTCCCCATCTATGTCAGCAGCTGGGCAGTGCGGGTGACCCAGGGTAATCGCGAAGCAGAGCGCCTGGCACGCAAATTTGGCTTCGTCAACCTGGGGCAGGTAGGTGGCACTCGGATGGATGATGGAAAGCGAGGGGACAGATGACCCCTGACCCTAATAGATAGGACAGGGTCCTCAGTGTCTTCCTAAATATAAAAAAAAACCCAAGCCTAGCTGGGCATGGTGGTGCATGCCTACCACCCCAGCACTGTGGGGGGACGGGGCAGGAGGATGCCAAATTCCAGCCCAGCAATGCGGCTGCTCCCTCCTTCCCAGGTCTTCCCTGATGGGCAGTACTTCCACCTGCGGCACCGGGGCGTGGCCCAGCAGTCCCTGAGCCCGCACTGGGGCCACTGCCTTCGTCTGAAGAAAGATCCAAAGGTGAGCCTGGCCCGGGAGGGTGCCCACCAGAGTCTCAGCTGGTGCCTGGGGACAGCCTGCCGCCTGTTATTCTTGTGACTGCCATAGATGGTCTCTTTGAGATCTGGGTTCCATCTGGTCCCCTCAGTGGGGCGCAGATGGGGAAGGCGTGCAGGAGGCAGGCACTTGTGTCCCCCTGGAAAGACGAAGGCCCCAGGCAACTGTGGTCAGGGAACGGGGACCCCTGCTTCCCCACCCACCAGCTCACAGAATGCAGGCGAGGCACTGACCCATTTTACCACACAGGAAAATGGTCCTGAGGAGTAGGGAGTGTTAAGCTGCCCAGTGGGTCTGTGACTGAACTGGGTTGAGGACCCAGGCTCTCCATGCTCAGAGTTAGGCACCAAGAAAGGTGGCTGGTTCAGGGTTTGTAGGACAGATCAGATGGGGAAGACAGAGAGATAGGTATCAGGGCCAGCTTGGCACCCAGAAGACTGACAGGATCCTCCAGGTGGGGTGGAGGATATGAGCTAATTGGGGATGAGAGATGAAGGCAATAAAGAGGAAGCAGGACAAATGTCCAAAGAAGAGCAGTCCAGGCTGGCAGAACAGCATGTGCAAAGGTGCTGGGGTCGGGACAAGCTCAGGTGCCCTTAAAATGTCAAGGTGGTCACTAGCTGTAGTTAAGTGACCAATAGGGAAGAGCTAGTGGGGGCTGGACATTCAGGTTCTTGTAGGCTGTGGACTGGGGCATGGAAAGGCAGGGAGGTGAGTGTGACCCTTGGATGGAGAAGCGGGGGAAGAAGTGACTCTTTTGGGAGTTAATGTAGGAGGGAGCCAGCAGGGTTGGACAGAAGGATCTGGAGCAGGGAGGGAAGAGAGGGCAGTGCTGGGACAGAGGAAGCTGACATCTCTGACTCTGTCCATGTGTCTGTGGGCCTGAGGATGGGAACACTGGGACCCTGGGGCCCCTCCACTGAAGACAGAGCCCCAGGTATGGGGGGACCCTAAAAAGCAGCCCTATGCTAGGCATGGTGGTGCATATCTGTCATCCCAGCACTTGAGAGGCTGAGGCAGGAGGATCACTACAAGTTTGAGGCCAACTTGGGCTACATAGCAAGATCCTGACTCAAAAGAAGAATTTTAAAAGACACAGCAAACATGGGATCCCCAGACCAGGGATCTTCTGGCGTCCCCTCCCTACCTGAGGGACAGTCCAGCCACATGTCCCTCCCAGGTGCGGTGGTTTGAGCAGCAGACGGTGCGGCGGCGGGTGAAGCGGTCCCTGGAGGTGCCCACGGACCCCTGGTTCCCCAGGCAGTGGTACATGGTGAGCGGCTAGGGCTGGGGCAGGCAAACACATGGAGCAACCGCAACCCCACTGACCCCATCCGCTGCTTGGCACAGAACAACGAGATGCCGCTGGACCTGAACATCCTGCAGTCCTGGGCCCAGGGCCTAACAGGCCGGGGTGTCGTGATCTCCATCCTCGACGACGGCATTGAGAAGGACCACCCAGACCTCTGGGCCAATTACGTGAGGCCTTGGCAGCTGGGATCGGGCCGTCCCAAGTCCCCCACCCTGGGATGCCTCACGCCCTGCTCCTGCCCTCTCTGGTCTCCAGGACCCCCTGGCCAGCTATGACTTCAATGATTACGACCCAGACCCCCAGCCACGCTACACGCCCAGCAATAAGAACAGGTGAGCCCCAGCCCGTGGGGTACAAGGGGGTCCCTAGTGACCCACGGGACCTGGCGGATTGTGACAGGCACCCCCCTCGGCCCTGGCACCAGACACGGGACGCGCTGTGCTGGGGAGGTGGCTGCCATGGCCAACAACGGCTTCTGTGGTGCAGGCGTTGCCTTCAATGCCCGAATTGGAGGTACCAGGGTCCCCCAGGGACACAGCCCGGGGACAGAGGGTGGAGAGTACCGCTGCAGCAGCCGGGACATGGGGGCAAGTGAGGGGTGGAAGGTGCTGGCATCCTCCCCCTCCTGGCTGGGTGGGGCTAAGACCCCCAGACAGGGCCCTGGGAGAGAGGGCTACGCGGGCTGGTGCCCGAGGGAGGCCGGACGCCCCACGCAGGTGTGCGCATGCTGGACGGCACCATCACCGACGTCATCGAGGCCCAGTCGCTGAGCCTGCAGCCCCAGCACATTCACATCTACAGCGCCAGCTGGGGCCCCGAGGACGACGGCCGCACAGTGGACGGCCCAGGCATCCTCACCCACGAGGCCTTCCTGCATGGTGTGACCCACGTGAGTGCCACGGGGCTGCAGGGTGGGACAGCGTGGCCAGGCTGGGGACAAGCAGGTGTGACACTCCTGCCCCTGCCTTCTCTCCCCAGGGCCGCGGCGGGCTGGGCACACTCTTCGTCTGGGCCTCAGGCAACGGCGGCCTGCGTTACGACAACTGTAACTGCGACGGCTACACCAACAGCATCCACACGATTTCAGTGGGCAGCGCCACCCGGCAAGGCCGTGTGCCCTGGTACAGCGAGGCCTGTGCCTCCATCCTCACCACCACCTTCAGCAGCGGCTTGGCTACCGACCCACAGATTGTGAGCTGCCGCCTGTCCTCACCACAGTGCCCTCCCACTTGTGTTTGCTACTGGGAATGGAACCCAGGACCTGCACGCGTGCGCACACACACACTTTTCTTTTGTTAAAATTTAAAGCTGGGTGTGGTGGCGCACACCTGTGATCCCAGAACTCAGGAGGCTGAGGCAGGAGGATCACTTCGAGTTTGAAACCAGCCTGGGGTACAGAGTGAGTTCCAGGGCAGTCTGAACTACATAGTGAGACCCTGTCTCAAAAAACCAAAACCAACCAAACAAACAAAACAAAACAAATTTTAAAACAGGGTCTCTAAATTGCTAAATTCTCGGGCTGGGCTCAAACATGGGATCCTCCTACCTGAGCCTTCTGTTGTACTGGGATTACAGGTGTGTACCACCGTGCCTAGCTTGTAATACTTTCTGAGCTCAGTCTTTGGTACTTCTGTGAACTCAGTTTGCAGTACAGTGGCACCTTGGTTCACAAATTCTTTCCATAATTCTGGTCGAAAACTGAATTGGACAAGAACAGCATCAGATTTCCCCATAAGATCAACATAGAACCTAAGCATTTAATTTGATTTGGTTCTCATTCAATTCGGTTTGCAACCAGAATCATGGAAAGAATTAAATTTGTGATCTGAGGTATCAGTGTATATTTTCAATTTAGTCCTTGGTACTTTTTTTTTTTTTTTGTACTGGAGATCAAACTCAGGACCTTGTGTTTGTGAGGCAGGTGGAAGAACCACTGAGCTAAATCCCTGGCCCTCCTTTGTACTTTTTGAACTTCGTCTTTGTTTTGTTTTGTTTTGTTTTTCTGATAACTGGGATCGAACTCAGGCCTTTGCACTTGCCGGCGGGTATGGCCCCACTAAACTGTATCCCTGGCGTTTTGCACATAGTCTTTGATATACCACTTGAACTGTCTAGAAGACTTTTTGAGTTCAGTCCTTAGTCCTTTTACTTTTTGTTTCTGTCTTTGCTTTTTAGATAAGGTCTCACTGTGTAGTTCAGGCTGTCCCTGAACTCATTATGTAGCCCCGGCTGGCCTGGAAATTCCAGTAACCCTCCTGCCTCAGCCTCCCAAGTGCTGCGATTATAGACATGTGCCATCATGCCTAGCTCCTTAGCCCTTTGTGAACTTGATCCATAGTACTTTTCAACCTCGGTCCACGGCACTTGTTGAATATGCATTTCACTGTGCGCCAGCCCCCAGCCCCACCCCTCTGTCCCCAGGTCACCACAGACCTGTACCACCAGTGCACAGACGAGCACACGGGCACCTCAGCCTCAGCGCCCCTGGCTGCAGGCATGATCGCCCTGGCCCTGGAAGCCAAGTAGGTGCCAGTGGGGCCCTGACCTTGCCCTGAAGCCACACCACCGACGGGCAGGGCTCGTGCTCATGGCGGCCCTGCACTGCCCCCAGCCCGTTCCTGACCTGGAGGGACACACAGCACCTCGTGGTCCGTGCCTCGAAGCCAGCGCACTTGCAGGCTGAGGACTGGAGCACCAATGGCGTGGGGCGCCAAGGTGCGGCCGGGCTGGGCAGGGGGTGGGGGCAGCAGGTCTGCGTGGCACGTGACAGCCGCCCCTCCACACAGTGAGCCACCACTATGGCTACGGGCTGCTGGATGCTGCACTGCTGGTGGACCTGGCCCGCACCTGGCTGTCCACACAGCCCCAGAGGAAGTGCGCTGTGGAGGTCGTGCTGGCCCCGCTGTAAGGGGACCCTGTCCCCACACCCATCATCACCACCGCCGGGGCAGGGTCCCTGGGGGAGGCAGGCCCTGGCCTCAGTTTCCCCATGTGTCAGGAGAGGGTGGGCCACGTAACCCATAGCGGGTGAACCCAGATCCTGCCAGCCGACAGGAGGGTCCTCACTGCCCCCCCAGCCCCATCCTGCTCCGGATGCGCGTGGAGAAGAATGTGTCGGCCTGCGGGGGCAGCCACCGCTACATCCGCTCACTGGAGCACGTGCAGGTGCAGCTGTCACTGTCCTACAGCCGCCGCGGGGACCTGGAGATCTCGCTCACTAGCCCCATGGGCACCCGCTCCACACTGGTGGCCATCAGGTGTGTGGCCTGGTGGGGGCTGCCCGGGGCCGTGCGGTCGGATGCACCCTGTAGCTCTGCGGGCCTTTCCGGCCATGCTTGCACATGAGGCCCCCTCCCTTCTCTCCCCTGCTCTCCAGACCCCTGGACAACAGCAGCCAGGGCTACCACAACTGGATGTTCATGTCTACCCACTTCTGGGATGAGAACCCACAGGGCTTGTGGGCCCTGGGCCTGTGGAACAAGGGCTACTATTTCAACACAGGTGAGGACTGGGCCTGGGCTGGGTGGTCCTCCATTACCCTTCGGCCACAGGGACCCCGAGGACTGGAAGGAGAAACCGTGTCGGCAGGCATGGTTGGCACGCAGTAGGTGTGCAGCTGTCGGGGTGGCGGAGCACAGTAGGTGGTTGGTGGCTTGGGACCATGTGACCTGGGCTCTGGTGAAAGCTCCCTAGTAAAGGGGGCCAGGGCCCTGGTACAACCCAGCTGCCAACAGCTTCTCCCTCTCCCTGTGCCCACCGTGACCCCTGCCCAGGGACACTGCACCGCTGCACACTGCTTCTCTATGGGACAGCAGAAGACATGATGGCCCGGCCTCTAGTCCCCCAGGTGACTGGCAGTGCGGGTATGCGGCGGGACATAAAGGGGCTGTGCCAGGGTGAGTGGCCAGTGGTGGTGGCAAGGCTGGCGGTGTGTGTGTGTGGGGCCTGGGAGGGCTGGCAGTGGACAGACCCTGGGGTGAAGCCTCAGCCTCATGCCCTCCCTCTGCGTCCTTCCTTGTGCCCTGTGCAGAATGTGACAACCCCACCTGCATCCTGGGGCACCTCCACCTCTCCTGCTGTGGATGAGGGCACTCAGTCTGCACCCAGCAGGCAGTGATCATGGGGCCTGGCTGCCCCCCACCCTGAACACCCCAGCTCCCTGCTGCTCTGTGTGCCCCAGCACTACCTGCCTCCCCTGCATCACCCCAAGCATGGATGAGTTCTGGGGCTCCTGCTTGGGCCTGACACCTGCTACAGTCACCTCCAGCCTTCTCCCCTTACCCCAGCCCCACTGCCCAGTCCTGGCCAAGATGCTGGACCTGCCTGCCATGGCCTCGGGGAGCCCCTTCCAACGCCCGCTCCATCTGCCACCACCCCAGGACCGACTGCACACTGGGACCTGGAGACTTGGAGTACCAAAAGCTGTCTTGGCCTGGGTCCAGGTTAGAGGGGATACTGCTGTTCTGGTATGTCCCCCACTGAGATCTGCCCTGAAGGCCCAGCTACCTGCGGGAAACTTAGAGTCTGGACACTCAGCTCCAAAAGAGAACGTCTCTTTCACATTTTGGGGTCAGTCGGGGGTGGGATGGGCAGAGGCTGGATCATGAACTCCATTCCTTCCCTACTCCAAACTCTGTCCAGTCTTGGGCACCATGTTCAACCTCAGAATTTGCAAATAAAGGTTGAAAAGAAGATGCCAAGTCTGTGGTCTCCTTAGGGGCAGGGCAGGTCCTGGGCACCCCGGCAAGGCAGTCTGTAGGGAGTGATGTCAGGCCCCACAGTACCCAGAGGGCCACAAATCAGCTGCAAGCCAGAGAGCCCAGGATTTGGGGTGCTGCTGATTCTGCATCCAACTTGAATTGCTTCCCTCTTCCCACTCCCTCACCCTCTACTGCCGGGCACACAGAACCCTAATTAGGGCTCTTGGGGCAGCTACAGGAAATGGAAATGGGCCAGCAGCTTATCACATGCAGTCAGTGTCCGGCCCAGAGATTTCACCCCTAAGTGTGCAGCGAAGAGAGAAAAAGACACATCTACACTGAAACACAATCCACAACAGCCAAAAGGTGGAAACAACTCATAGGCACATGTTCATCAGAGGGCTGATAAACACAAAGAGGTCATCCCCATGCTGGAGTATTACTTAGCCAGGAAAAGAGTGAGGCTGTGACACTTGCCACATCATGGGTGGACCTTAAGAACGCCGTGCTCAGTGAGAGACACCAGGCCCAGAAGGACACAGCATGGGCTCCATGGACAGGAAATGCCCAGGACAAGGGAACCCAGAGACAGGAAGTGGACTCGGGTACCGTGGGTTGGGAGGGGACAGGTGACTGCTCATGGGAACATAAGTGACTGCTCATGAGGACAAGGCTCGTTTTTTGAGTGTCTGAAACTAGGTAGTAGTGATGCTTGCACAACTTCACACACACGAATACAAAGCACAGAATTATTTTAAACAGCTGAATGTTACAGCATGTAAATCACGTCTCAATAAAGCTGTCTACAAACACAAAAGCTCTGCTCCTCCCAGTCCCAACCAGGAGGGAGGTGACAGTAGGACTGCAAGGGACAAGAATGAGGGAAGGGACACTTCACTGCCCTCTCCAGATGGGAGGAGTTTTAGAAAAGTGGGGCCAGGCTGGCAAGATATGACTTGGGTCTTGAGTCCCTGGCCAGCTCGCTGGTGATCAAAGTATCAGAGTATCTGGCATTTACTGAACACCCACTGGGAACACCAGGCACAGGCAGTGATGCTCTATTTTTTTATTTTATTTTATGGTACTGAGGATCGAACTCGGGTCCTTGCGCTTACAAGGCAGGCGCTTGATCCCTGGCCCGGCGGTGATGCTATTCAATACAGCCAAGGGAATTGGTGCCTTGTTTTGAGAAAACCGAGCCTCACAAGCTCTGCTACCCATCCAGAAAGACTCGAACTCGAACTCATGCTCACCCCTTGTGCTTCCGGGTCTACTGGCCCAGGACGGGAAGGAGAGTAAGAGGTGAGGGACCGAGATCCCTCCGGTTCAGTCGCGGCCCCTTTAAGAAGGGGCGGAGTCTCGAGGGGGTGGTCAGAAAGAACTGCGGAAGAGCGGAAAGCCTGCGTCAGGTGCCTGGGTTCACCCGCCGGAAGCGGAAGTCGCGGTGACGCTGTTGGTGGCAGTAGGCGCTTGTCCGTGGTGCGCGATTAGCGGCAGAGGTTTTCACGGAGAAACTGAGGCCGACGTTTAGCTGGACTCTGAAATCCGAAGCTTCTTGTCTGAAGAAGGGAAAGCCACCCGCTACCTAAGCCCAGAGGAGCGCTTTGTGGGGCTGCAGGGCGGGATCCACTCCCCCCACCCCGGGAGCGGGGCCGCGGCGGGTGCGTATGAGTTCGGGCAGATCGACCCCCTCATAGACCGAGAGGTAGACTCCCTGCTCCCTTCCTCTATTCCCAGGGATGGGCTCCAAGACCAAGAAGCGCGTGGTGCTGCCCACCCGCCCCGCGCCCCCAACGGTGGAGCAGATCTTGGAAGACGTGCGGGGGGCGCCGGCCGAGGACCCCGTCTTCACCGCACTGGCCCCGGAAGGTAGCGCAAAAGACGCTCATCCCAGCCCCAGCCCCAGCCCCGGAGCGCAAGGCCGGGGAAACCGAGGAACTGGGAGTAGAGATTTGAGCCAGGGGCCTGGGCACAGGCCTTATCCACTTTGAGCCTCCCTGTTCTCATCTGTAAAGTGGAGGCATCTTAGGGTTCCTCTAAAATGGGTTCACACGGTAGTCTGCAGCCTTGCCCTACCCGATCCTTGGGGCTTTTTTGTTTGGTTGGTTTTTTTTTTTTTTTTTTTTTTTTTTTT